GTCTGCAATATTACCCTCCCCTTTAGAAAAACGATGGGCGCTAGAGCAACGAAGGATGCTTGATCCTGAATATAAGTTCATAGGATGGATTTGTTGGAGCTCTCCAGAAGTTGGCATCATCCCAATGAGTTTTATCGCCTGCTGCATGGTGTGGTTATCCGATTAGTCATACGACCAAAACCACTTTGAGAGCCTGTTTCCCTCCACATAGTCTACCAGGAAATAAGTGATATCCACCATAAAATCGATTTGGCACGGCGCCAACTCTTATTACACATTTCGCAGAATAACATAAAACATTTGCACTATTGCTAAGTTCGCTAGCGAGTTGATATTTTCTATTTAGCACTCAATAGATAATCTGCGAATACCTCGCTCGTCCTCATTCTACTCTCCTTGAGGTAAAAAGTAGGCAACTAGTAGTAGGTAGACTTGAGTTAGTGCTTTCAAAGGATATTATTCGATTTGTTGGTAAGAATGAGGTGTTCTTACAAAAAAAAACACAAAATATTGGTTCATTGAGTTATGAGCAAAACTTCACAGGGTTATGAACAAAAGTTTCGCCCCAAGGAGACTTGAGTCCGCACTTCTCGCCTACCAGGCAGTCTTTCTTTATCTTTATTTAGTACGTTGTATGAGACAACGTTAAAAATATAGCGAACAACAACAAAACAAAGACCTGAGGGAACATAACTGACAGTGAGAATAGAATGAATGACAGTGACAACTATGCTTGAAGAAAATGAGTTGCTATAGAGCGCTTGAAGGATGCAAAAGAGCCGTCAAAGGAGGAAGCTTTGCTGGCCCGCAAAAATGCAAGACCGGCTCTAACTGTAAAGAAATTCCGCCTTATAGTGGTCTTCGGCCTAGAGAAGGAGATTTTGAGTTGACCACCCCTAGTTTTTGACGGTATCAGAGTGTAGAAAGAGGAGATAGCAATACCACATTTGTGGTTTAATAGTTTATGTAACATGCATAAATCAAAAAGATTGCGCCTAGACTGAAGGGAAGGCAAATCAAAAAACTTGTTCCTTATAGCGGCTTTAGGGATTTTGGAATAGAGAAACCCGCCACGACGAATGAGCGCTTTCCTAGTGAAGTTATTTTGAACCCTTTCAATGAGAGCAATGTCCTTCTTTTTGGCCGGGCAATATATGACTGTCCCATTTTCAACCAGGGAACGCACATAAGTTTTATACACTTGAATGAGGACTTTGGTGTCTCTGGTTGTGAGAGCCTTGAATATGTGATAAGTACGATTGACAGCGCTACTATAGACGTGCTTATAATGGGAGGTAAATTCGAGTTTATCATTATAGCGGAAGCCCAAATCCTTGACTTGTTCAACCTTGGTGATTTCCACACCATTTATGAAATAAGAAGCGTTCGTGGATGGTAACCCAATGCGCATGTGTAGTGTTTTGATTGAGGACAATGGAAGCTGCCAGGCAAGTGCGCTACAAGCTCTAACATCAAAAAGGTTGCACAAGTGATTTTGTTGCAGCCTAGCAATATAGCCCTCCAAACTGCAAAACCTCTCAGTACACAAATTTCGGTAGCCTGGCCAGCGAATTGTAGTGTTCTCTAATAGCTTAGTCTGCTGAAAACCCATCGCTTCTAGGTTTTTTTCCTTTTCGTCTGAAGGGAGACACCTTATCACGAACTGAGTTGCAAGGATGTCTGCGTGTGCCACTGAGACCAAGCAAATTTCGAATCAATATGTCTGGAACGGAAGTTTCTAGAGAGAATTCGGAAAACCTCTTACTTT